GAATTTATGGAAGCTACAAGCATGCAAATTGATCGCAACAGAGAGGTTAGACGTATCTGTTAATAGTGTTCGAGATCCAAGTAGACTGGTATTACTCAATATCACTGTGAAATAAATGGTTTTAAATTGCCGTTACCGCCTCCATAACGGTGGTTGCTGGTCTAATTATTTTAGGTTTAACGTAAACGGAATGCTTATACCGCCATCTGTTAGAGCCCATGATATTTTTTTTTATAGAAGAGGGGGCAAACGAGCGTGCGTTCCACCTGATGGTAAGTGTCAACCGCCCGATACCCAGTGTAGAAATTAGGTACTCTGTTCAAACGTGTTCCATTTGCTAAGGAACGCTCCCGCTTCTCTATACCCACCATACGGAACACAGCAGAATCATGCTGGAAAAAAGTCAAATGCGGACTTCTCGCGTTCTGTTAAATTTACGACGAGTGCTGAGTCCAGAGCTACCACGGCTCGGCTGCTACCAGAGCTTTTCACTTTAATAAAAAATAAACATTTATGATATATTTCTATAGTAAAGTAACAACCTATATTCGTTCCACTCTTGAGCACACGCCTGCAACTGCAACACCAGGGGAATCGTAGGTACGTTACCGGCCTTCCTTTGAAAAAAAGAGTGGGCTCGTCTTTTTGGATATAAATTAGTCTCCTCTTACGACCTACGGGAAGAAATGGGGTTCTGAGATTCTTCTTATGCCGCTTTTACACGACAATGTGGTAGAACCATGCTTCAGCTATATTATAGTTGTAGCACGAGTAAGTCAGTTCATCTGGGGAAGGACCAATCTTTTACAGAATGCCAGCGTAAAAAAGTAGATCAATGCTGCTGGTGCATGTAGAGAACCAGAGACCCTTTTTACTGAAAACGAGGCCTTTAATCTTAACACGCAGATGTGACAAGGCATTGACTTCTAATCGAGGACATATGGGCTACATTATCCACCTTTTTTCTATAAATGAAGAAATGTCCACTTAGGTTATCATAATAATTGCAAAACTAGCTTAAACCTCAGCAATGATAAACGCGGCAAATAGCCGAGAGTGCAGTTGATTAAATTTAGTAATATTTTATATCAACAATATTACCGTCTTGTTTCTAAACGGGTTAAGAAATAGCTAAAGCTGAACGAAGCGCAGGCAGACACGAACTATTTTCTTGTAAACAGAGTCTAAGAAAAATAATTAGGTCACAGCGAGTATATTACCTACTACTGTATCGTCATAAGTTCTTACAATGCCAGACGTCCAGAAGGGCGTAAAAACTAAATTTTATATTACATTCATACATAAACACAAACAAATATATACATACAAACTGTTACATTAATTAATGAAAGCTTAACAAAGTCCACTGCTGAACGTAGATAGTGGGTATATTTGCCATAGTTGCGACGCAGAGCAAGTTTATCAACTGTTTTCTGCTGCCCATTTCCTGGTTTGTTTGCCTTTGTCGCCTCTCGCGATACGCACCGGACTATATAAAGGTTAGTGAAATTTTTACACCGCCCTTGTATTCCATACATAAATACAGGTCAAATTAATAACAAAAACCTGCTATAATAATATAGTAGTAGTTGTATAAAACTAACGCAAATTAAATCAGTAGCCTAATGGCAGGACGCGGACCGCGAACTCGAAATGTCATGGGTTCGTATCCGCCATTCGACTACTGTCGTGAACCACTTCTAATTCATTTTAAGCGTTCCATTAGTGGTTAAAGGCAATATTAGTAATATTTAATAGCATTACTAGTATTTAAATAAATACAAAAGATAAATGACCACATATACATATCTATACAATTAACAGACCAATATATTGTATGCGCATGGGGTTTTTTTTATATACGAACGTGAAAGAAGTGACGGACATGTGTCAGAATTGTTTCAAAAGGAATTCCGTGGTCTCTGCTTACCCCTGTGTGATAGTCGTGAGGACTTATGTATATAAATATGAATGTATCTATACACAGACATCATTACTGTTTTCTGAGATTAGGCTCCTGAATTTCAATCTGAATTAACAAATTGATGTTAAAAATTATTGCCTTCTGAATTAAAACTGTTCTGGAGGCCCCGGACGATATCTCTTGTTACCTTTGTGACATCAGATATTTAATGTTACTTTCCTTATAATACAAATTAATTACTCGGAACTAATTAAGAAAGAACATGAGTTATGATAAACATTCTAAATATAAACTTTCCTCATAAGATTCGTAAGATTTCACACGGATATAGATGTTAAATATGTATTAAATTCTGTATTAATTCGTCTGTACACGTTCTTATATTGTCATCCGATTATGAGCTATGTTCAAAATTTCAAGTATCTAGCTCACCGGGAGTTTAAAATTAATTACTAAATTCGGCCCGAACAAACATATACAAAAGCGAGTTAAAAGTTTATTACACACCTCGAACGTGAAGCGGAGAGTTTGGGCTTTACTGTCGACTAGTCAATTTCACGCTACCCGTTACAGTTACAGCCTATAAAAAGTCCACTGCTCAACATAGGGCTCCCCCATAGATTGCCAAAAATGGATACCTTCTTTGAAGCAAGAAAATATGACACAGTAGCCGCGCTAAGCAAACTGGTCGGCAACCGCAGTTTTCCTTTAAGTTGTTATTAGAAAAACGTTGCTGCCCATCTTCTGGATTGTTTCCCTCTGTTGCCTCTTAAGACACCCACGGGACGATCCCAGATAGTAGATAATTCTAACACCGCCACTACACGGATTCACGCTACCCGCTCTCACCAAATCCAGTATATTTTATCATTGATTGTATACAACCTAAACAACATAGCGATAGTATAAACTAACATAGTGGAAATCTAAATGAGTATTTATCAAACTTCTTTGGATGTTCTTGATGCCTAGCCTAAAAAATATCATTTATAATTTCTATAATTTCTATTGAATAAGGAATCTCAAAGCACTTAGCACCTGAGCTCTAAATGTCACAGTTCGTGAGCAACCCGATTTCGATCTCCGCTGGCACTCACAGAATAACAACGTGAACCAGTAGAACCTACCTAGCTGTTTTTTAAATGCTTATCTAGTTCCTATGATTAGATTCTATCTGATAGAAAGCACCTAGACCTAGTTTAGACGATATTCCATGTGTGAATCGAAAACGAATTTATTTTCATTGTGGTTGCAGTGTCGTCGTCAGCAGCAAACTAATTTTGCTTATTTTTAGTTGATTTAAAATAAATTAGTAGTAAAAACATTTTCAAAAACAAGCTTTTAAATAAATGGTTTAAAAAGAAGAAAATAAACTTTAAATTAAATCAAATCCACCAATTTATTAAATAACACAATTTATATGATATAAAAGCTTGTCGCATAGACATAGAGCGAAGAAAAACGAGCACTAGGAAACACCTGTCAGCACGACTCCAGCAGCGGATCCGGCCGCGCTGTTAAAAATACCAACATTGCTCTCTCTCGCGGTCCCACTACCGCCGCATCAGCGCAACTATCCTGATAGAGTTTAGGCGTTGGAGAAGAGAGGTTTACGCTCATACGGTTGTGAACTTTTTCATATGGCATATCTTGAAAAGAAATGACGATATCATCTCTTCACCAAATACATTTTTACTGTATTATTATATTACAATTTGAGTTTTAATGAAAATTTATTTTGATTTTTTTAACATTAAAAAAGTCGAATTTATAATGAGTCACCGGACAGGACCTATTTGAATTTAAATTTATTGTATAATTTTTTAAATAGTTACGCAATTGAATCGCTGAAGTTTATGTCTCTGCTCTGTGGTGACCACTTAGCATTAAGTGGCGATGAATAATGGATCATTTTCTCAATAGCTATAAATATTAATTAGAAATTCTTGCGCCGTCTAAATTATTTTTTCTAAACAGCGCAATGCTTAATTTGAAATTCACCGCACAATATAACCGGCAATCAGTAATATAATCAAATTGTATAAAAGGTTTGGTATCTGAAGTAAAATACTATCTTACATAAAATTATTTTTATATAATTTTTGTATTAAATACAAAAATTATATAAAAATAATTTTAGATACAAAGCTAGCGTAAAACTACTGTAATTGCTAAGTAGCTATCTCTATATGTAAACATCGATTGCTGTCAGTTAGTATCGCTAAAACTCGAAAACGGCTCGAACGATTTTGATGAATTTTTTTGTGTGCGTTTGAGTGGCTCTCTGAATAGTTTCGATTCACAATTGGACCTGGTAGGTGGCGCTGTTGTCAAGTTGTTGTCAAGATCCAGAAAGCGCCCGTACGAAATCGGGGCGGATCGCTAGTTTTTAATATTTACGCTATCACTACACATTAACGAAACGGCGGCTCCGTGGCGCAGTGGCTTAGCAATGAGTTGCTACGCTGCGGGGCGCCGGTTCGAATCCCGCACGGAACAAGTATTTGTATGGCCTACAAATAATTGTTCCGGATCTGGATGTTTGTCCTTGTGCAATCTGTGTTTGTAAACTGCCTCCACGATACAGGAGAAAATCCTAGTGTGGGGGTAACGTTATTTTTAAGAAAAAAAAAACGAAATAAGATTTTTGCGGAAATTGTCACGTTTAACAACTTATTTTTATTTTATACTCCTAACTCCTCTGTAGTACTTTGCAGCACTCATAGTTACAGAAAGACTGATCGGTTCAAAGCCACTTTCGGATCAGACCAAAAATTAATAATTTTAAGTATAAATACGTTGGATACCCCAGGTTCTCCGTGATTGCTGTGAAGAAATCGAAACGTCCGGAATATGAAAATAAATAAATTAATAAACTGTAATGGTAGAATGTGAAGCTGTACTTACAATTAAACATTATATATATATTACACAGGCAATGTATTAGATATTATGTAACAGACGAAGAGTTGTAAACGTATTTCCTAAAGAAGGACACGTTTGATTGGACTCGCAACACCGCCGCACCACATATTTAAAAACACAATAAAATTTTAAATACTAGTTTCATTCAAAGCTAATTTAGACTCAAGCTGTTATCAACGTCCTGAAATCTCGGCATCTGACAGGTAAGTACACCACATCTGTTGGGACAGCACTTCAGCGCTCGCAGACAATCAGAATCCGTGGTGCAAGTGTGAGTGCATAACCAGGGACCCTTGGGATCCTTGGGGCAACTGCCCTGCTTAACTGAAAAGAAGGTGGAATTTTAAAAGTCTTATGACACAAAGGCAACCAATCTATTTAACATTCAGTAAGTATGTAAGTTGATACCAAAATAAAATAAAGTAAATTATCATTATAAGCCGCAAGTAGAAGTTACCAATCACATTACACAAGTTTCTGCATAGTTACTAATAATAAAAATAATTGGTTACTAATAGTAATAACTGCTGGCCGTATAAGGAAGCTCAAAATTCGCTCAGCGAGCTATGGAGAGGGCTATGCTCGGGGTTTCTCTGCGTGATAAACTTAAAAACGAGAATATCCGCAGTAGAACCAGAGTTACCGACATAGACCAAAGAATTAGTATGCTTAAGTGGCAATTGGTCGGCCATATAGCTCGAAGAACCGACAACCGATGGGGAAGAAATGGTCTCGAGTGGCAGCCTCGTACCGGTAGCTGAAGTGTAGGGCGTCCCCCCGCTATATGGAGCGACGACCTTGTAAGACCTGCAGGAAGTCAATGACTGCAGGTGGCTCGGGACCGTGCTTTCTTGCATTCCTTGGGGGAGGCCTTTGTTCAGTAGTGGACTTGTGAAGGGCTGTAACGATGATGATGAGTAATAACTGCCGCTTTACCACATACTGTGCTTCGAACTTAAACACTGTAAGGAAACCTGCATATCTGAGGAATATAATATATCTAGGACATGGTGAAGTCCGTCAAAGACACTAGAGCAACGCAGCTGACTAATTTATAATTAAATGAATAAATAATTTATTTGTCTAGCTGTTAAAACTAATTCGATGGCTCCATAGCGCAGTGGCTTAGCAATGGATGGCAGTGCTTGGAGCCGCAGGTTCGAATCCCGCACGGAACAAATATTTGTATGGCCTACAAATAATTGATCCAGGTCTCGATGTTTGTCCTTGTGCAATTTATGTTAGTAAACTGCCTTCACGATACAGAAGAAAATCCTAGTGTGGGGGTAACGTGATTTACAAAAAAAAAATATTGTTCTATTACTCTCTCAGAAATGAGATAATTGCCACATTCTTTACTTTAGATCGCTTTACTTTGTTAGACGATGATTTGGCACTGACTGGCACTTCCTTTCTTTCTATACGTTTTGATAAATCCAAGATTCATCAACTTTAATAATATCGTTACTACCCTGAAACGCACCTGCTTAAAATTTATTAATCATGTCACCATTCCACGTTGACCTGCTTCTGAGCATTTGTGAGGCTGTACGCGAAACTATCCTGCTCTCGCAAATATATGATTTCGTGAACGATACACGATCCAACCAGAGCCGTGGTAGCTCAGATTTAAGTAAGTTTCACAGTATGCGAGCAACCCGGGTTCGAGCCCCGCCGGCACCAATGAAATTGTTAATTGCAATTTTAAGTGCTTATTTACCACGTGATCGGCGGTGAAGGAAAATATTGTGTGGAAACCTGTATGTCTGACAAATAAGAAAAAATATTTCGAAGACGTGAAATTCGCATGTCCTTGCCCTAAAACCCTCTCCAAAATGAGAGGAGGCCTGTGCCCAGAAGTGTGACGTATATAGGCTGTAACTTTAAACCGATCCAACCAGCAATATGTGCTAAATATTTTTATACGTTGTTAGCAAATAAAATTTTTACAGAGAGCACGTTTCTTCCGTAACATCCATCAAAAGGAGACCACTTCTTTCTACATCTTATAATTAGTCGAACGAACTAATATTTAATATATTAGTGGTAGACAATTGACTTAGAAGGGTCCATAAATACAACTTAAATTTCTGTTTATGAATTGGTCCGGCTTAAAGCGATATTCGAAATCATAAAAAATCATCGCACCAAAATATTCCTGACGCAGGTCCATTTTGCAATGTAACACAATAATTCAATTTAGCTAGTAAAAATTGTGTAGAGAAATTTGAAATTGGAACATTCGTATTTTAACTTGTTAATAAACGTTTTTCAAAATAAATTACTTATAACTGGCCAGTGTCTCACACAATCTTTTTCTGAAAACTTTCTGAGTTTCATGTCGTATGCAGCGTTACTTTGCCGGCATGCATATACGCATAATAACCATTAACACCATTAGATCCTTAAAGACCACAAATGGACTTAAGGAGAAATTGCCTAAATCATCACGCTTGGGCGGTGGACTGACAATCGTAATACCAGGCGTCACGCACCTTTGACGTTGCCATCTGGGTGTGTGTCTAGTGTAAACGAGAGAATATACCGCCCTCTGTGGGAAGCCATAACATTTTTCTGGCATTTACAATTAAACAAAATCTTACTATAGTTAACGAAATGTCTTCGGGTCATGGGATCGACACATATAGAACCACCACACGTTGTTGGGCAACACAGTTGAGAACTGCTACATGGCCTTTGTGGACCACATTCCGCATCGCATACGTTGACCGACAACGTCGGAGGGCAGGAGCCGTCCTGACATAACGACACTGTGATGGACACTGTAAAAACAATTTAAATTGTATGTCGTTAGATAGTAAGCCTTCTACTATCCTTAGGATTCTGTCTCGCTGAATGTCACTTATCTACCTATTTCTGCCTGCAAACAGTATTCACTGTTGTATTCTGCCTGCAAACAGTATTCACTGTTGTATTTATAGAAAGCCAAGATAGTAATAGGCTTTATGCAATTCATCTTAATCCTCAGCGGTGACAATACAACTATAAACGACTACGTTTTTGACCAGGTGGTCTGGTAGAATTTTTACCATATCAATTTCATAAAAAGTAAAGTACGTTCACGCAGATTTAAATCTTTATAGGTAATTAAAATCGTTGGTGCGTCTGCTAGTCGTGTTACATTTGAACTACTAGATCAATTCGATAGATGGTGTTGAAGTCATGTCATTAACGAATTCTTTATTTTATGGGTCAAAATGACTAATATCCACAATATTGTTACGTTAGTGCAGTGCCAAAAAATTTTATCAAAAATTTTTGACTCGGTGCTGTGGCTTGGCAGTACAAATTTGTCGTCTCAATCTAAAAAGGACCACTCTCACGTATTACCAGCGTAAATATAGCTACTTAATGCTGCTGCGTTACGTATGGTGAGTGTAGAGATAGATAACATAAGAGCTTATTTTACTGGTAACGAGACACTTCACTTATCTTCAGGTAACAACGCGTCTGCATTTTGATAATAATTATCTATGATACATGTAGATTTGTATAGGCCCCAGTATCCCCTTGCCATCAGATGGCCCGTGTGCTCGTTTGTCACGTTTCCTGTATTAAGAATGACACAAACCAATCCGGATGTAAAGCGTAGTGATAACGGCGAATCAGTGGCGTAGCAAAGATTAATCAATCAATCAAACATTTTATTATGTTATGTCAAAGAAAATATACACTACGCGAAAAGAAACGAGGCGCGTGGGGCGTGGAACGGGCCGTCGTCGACTGCCCTGGCCGAGGGCTGGTACGTAGTAGTTTGCGTCTCGTTTATATTTATGGTACATATATGTTATATATATATATATATATATATATATATATATATATAATAAGTATATAATATATATATAATATGTACCATTCTATATTTCTATTTTATGGCTCTAATAAATATAATGTTGTTTTTGTCGGTAAACCAAACACTTTTTTTATTATTTTCTTGCAATCCTGTCCATCCAAAGGTTTTCTGGAAGAGATCGCTAACCATTGGGGTAGTGTTGTCGCTAAGAGCGATCTAACAAAAATGTAAAAATATATATGTTATTTTTTGGCGTACAATAAAGTGTTATCTATCTATCTATCTATGCTTCCCTATGGATTTTCCTAAAAAATTATACATACGGCTACGAATTTTTGCAATTGTTAGAAATAATAATAAAAATAACAAAAGTCATCGAAAAAGTCAAAAATATATAAGAGTAAGAAAATTTTAAAGGGTAGTAGGTAATACTGATTATTGCGTACTGAAATAATAAGTGTTGGTTAATTATTTAAGATTAACATTAACTGTCGTGCACATTTTGTTTTGTCGGAAATTTTAATATTCCCCATCTGTAAAGATATTTAATAAAATTTGATTTAAAATTGATCGTATCTTTCACTACCTAAATATATAAGTTTACATTATGTAACATATACCTACTATGTATTTTCTTTGGCACAAGTCTACAATATTCCATTTCGGTTCGGTATCAACCCTAGCGTTACACGCTCCACCTAAATGTCACCGCGCTTGAACTCTCACGTACAGAGAGTGTCACCGCAGTGGTTATGTTTTGTTATGTTATGTATATAGATATATATGGTACCAGGAAGATATTACTTAACAAACTGTGTAGTTCGCTTTAACCTGCGTGTATAATATAATTAAAAAAATGGTGAGTGTCGTGGAACACTCGGTTGGAACGAAGTTCCTTTCGTAGTATATTATTATTGATAAACGTTTAATATTATTGATTCACTAATACAAATAAATGAATTACTAGTATATAATAAAATGTCATTAAAATAAAATAATATTTCTTTCATGACAAGATAAGAAAAAGAGCGAGCGAGATGGATATTATTCCACCTAGCTTCCTTATAGTTATAGCAGCCAAAGCTGTCTACTACGTCAGAAGGGGTCGTAACGGAAAAATCTTGCACTTTTTGCGCCTAGCCCCCATCCATCAAATCCGTGCCGTCCGTTAAGGAACTTCGTTCCAATATATTATTTTCATTTGTTTTCATTTACTCATAATTAAAATAATTTTTTATTATTACAGTTGATAACATTCCGCCAGCAAAGCGTGGCTATAGCAAATATCCACTCATATCAGCAGTGAACCTTTGATAGACTGTAATGGACAATGAATATCTAAAGAATAAATGTCATCATTAAAATACACCGATAAAATTAGAGAAAAATACATATAAAATGCAGCTTAAAATTTAATAAAACAACATTCATAGAAGAACGCTTGCAGTTATAACGATAACAGTTCTAACTTCATTTAATAAAAAATTAAAATTAAACATGATAAAGTCCGTAAAATTTGTTTTATTGAATGTGTTTAATTCGTATAAATTTAAGAAATCATTATGAATCAACAAATGTGGTGGAATATAATATTAACCTTTATTTATTAATTATATGCAATTAATGTAGTAGTTACATTTATTTAAAATTAATGTTAATTACTTTTCTTACATAACATTGAAATAGGTATATAAATATTTTATTAATGTGTTTTAAATTACAAAATATACTCACAAAAACAAACCAAATAAAATCGAAACATTTTCTCACTATTTCACATACGCTAGCATCCTATGTTATTCCCATCTATGTTATTTTACACTAACCTTACACTCGACAGTAGTGTTTTGCCTGTGACCACGATAAGGATCTAATAAATTATATTAACAAGTATATCTACTGCTCTCTGTCATATTTAAGGTCAATATGATTTGATTAGATGACCACAATTACGTTTCATAACACTGTTATGAAAACAAGTGATTAACCCAAGGATTTACTTGTTGTGAATAACCCAAGTAATTTAACATTTTAGTGTTACGTATCAAAAGTCTGCAATAGATCCATATTACATAAAGTTTTTAATAATTTATTAAAAAAAAGTCTTAAACACATTTTAGGTAATTTTTCAATTTATAGGTAATAATAATTAATTTTCAATATGTTATACTTTGTTAATTCCATCAAAAAAATTTGACTTTAAGTCAACCAATTGCTATAATTATAATTGTTAACATGACTGTCTCGTGGGTTCAAATCTCCGGTCGGGACAATATCAGTTGTTGGCTTTTCTGTGATAAGATATTATCAGTAGCACTCCTGAGTCAGTAAGTTGTTGTGGTCACCCCTAATTCTCTCCGGTCGTGTCGGATTGCGGTCCCATCGGACTATGATAGTGAGGGAATAGAGAGTGAACCTTGTACTTACGCATCACTCGCGCACTATAATCCTGTCCTGTACAAATGGCTAGTTTCCGTTGAGACTGGCCGCCGTGAACGAAAATACACTCTGGAACACATTATCATTATAATGTACGAGTATCGAACTCGATCACAAGAATAAGTCTACTGTTGCTTGGTGGCAGATATAAGAAAGAGCTTGGCTCCATCCAACCCCGACTGATATATAGGCAAAAGAGCCACATATCTATTACCTAAGTTACTGCAGTGAATACGCAGTAGAACTTCTGTTGGGACAAATTCACGTTTTTTTTTTTCGCATCGAATTGGCTCACAAATCGTACCCTTTGTAATATTTAAAGAAATGGTCTCCGTCAGTTGCAAATACAGTACAGCGTTGTTTTAGGCTAAAATATGTGGTGAATTGTTTTCGCCGTGTTTGACTAGTTTTTTTACTCATAACTGCTTTGAAATAAACCTTGCGTGATAAATTAATGTTGGCTTGGAGAAATTATGCAATGTTACTAGGTGAGAAAAATTATATAATAAATTAACGGATGGACAAGAAAAATTAAGTTAAATAAATAAATAAATTAAAGGAGTGTAATATCTGGCACAGTGTCAGTACGATTGGGTCGGCTCGACTTGGGAAGGAACACGCTCTCGCAGAATACCAGCATAAAATAGCAGCTAAACGCTGCTGTGTTTCGTGTGGTGAGTGTAGAGAACCGGAGACCCCTTTTACTGGAAACGAGGCATTCCATCTTAGTCTTCGCGGGTGACAACGCATCTGTATTTTGATTCGTAATCGAGGATATATATAGATGTCTATGGGCCACCGCAACCACTTACCATCAGGTGGATTGTGTGCCCGCTCGTCAGTAAGAGAAGGGGAGTTAAAATTAATTCATAAATAGATAAACGGAAAAAGTCCAGATCATTCTTATGTGCCGCCATTTAAACTCGTTGTTGTGTACGCACTGAACTATTCATATTTAAATTGTTATTATGTACTTTATGAAAAACAAACATAAAAAGGATGCAATATATATTTTAGTATCCACGAGTTCTAGACTTCATTATCATCTGCAGAGAATAGACCAAAAAGGAAATTAAAGTACGATTATATTAAGAATAAACAAATCCAAAACTTCCTGTTTTCCCATCGCTAGTATCGGTCACAATGTAAATAAACTTTAACAGAATAATTGACTTCCTAAAAGGCCTGTATAGCGAGGACTAAATTGTTTGTACTTTGAGGCAAATCGGATTATAAGCGGCCACTATCCGCTACGGGTCACTTTGTGAAGTCCTAATTGAACTATTTTGTTAAATGGATTTTAAGTCAAAAACAACGAAAAAGGAGATAATTTCTTTTTGTATGGAGAATGGGCCCACCACATATTGTGGCGTAA